TCTCAGACACCTGAATCACGCCCTCATGAAAAGGTCGTTCAGGATGACTATGCTGAAACAGATCCTTGTGCAAATTCGCTCCGGAGACTGGTTCTTTTCGCTGGACCTGAAGGATGCATACTTTCTGGCCCCCCGCACTTTTACGAAGTGCATGGACCCTCTCCCCCCTGAGACAGATGGGAATCCGCATTCTCAACTACCTTGACGACTGGCTGGTTCTGGCCCAGTCGGAGGTAGAACTAGTATCACACAGGACCCTCCTCCTCAGCCATTTGGAGTGCCTGGGACTTGCCAATTTGCCAAGAGCACGTTGTTCCCCAGCCAGCGAATATCGTTCCTGAGAACAGTTTTCGACTCCGCCCAAATGAGAGCTGTAGTCGCGCCGGAACGGGCTCTAGCCATACGGAGGCTGGCGACCTCCTTCGAGATTGGCACCACTCGCCCTCTCAAAATGTTTCAGAGGATGCTGGGCCTCATGGAGGCGGCATCGCCAGCGCTACAGTTGGGTCTGCTTCGTATATGCCCCCCTTCAGCGCTGGTTGAAACCACGGGTTCCATCCCATGCGTGGATTCATGGACGCCTGCAGATCAGGGTGAGTCAGGCCTGTGTAACAGCCCTGGCCCCCTGGAAGAGCTCCCGCTGGATGGAACAGGGCGTGACCATGGGGATGGTTTGCAGAAGGACAGTTGTCACGACAGACGCCTCCAACTCAGGTTGGGGGGCACTGTGCGAGGGCATACTGACTTTCGGCCACTGGTCGAAGGCGGAAAAAGGCTTCCACATCAACTGCCTGGAAATGCTAGCAGTATGTCGAGCCTGTCAGTTCTTCCTGCCAGTCCTAAAGGGGCACCATGTGGTAATCTGATCGGACAACATGTCTGTGGTGTCCTACATAAATCGCCAGGGAGGCCTCACCTCGCAGCGTCTCTTCATTCTGGTAGAGCGCCTCCTGGAAGTGGCTCAACTCAACCTGCGCTCGCTGAGAGCAGCGCAACCTCCTTCTTTATGCTTTTCCCCCGATCGCCCTGATCCCACAGGCGAGTAAGGGAACAAAAACACAAGGTTCTCCTGATGGCCCCTCTCTGGATGAACCAGTTGTGGCTATCGGAGCTGACTCAGCGAACGGGACAATATGGCATCCTCGGCCCGATCTGTGGGCCCAGCACTTCTGGCCGCTCGACGGGAGCCTTCGAGCCTCCCAGAGTGAGTCTTGAACACAATTTCGAAGGCTAGAGCCCCGTCTACGAGACGCCTCTATGCCCTTAAGTGGTCTTTTTTCTCCGCTTGGTGTCTAAACCGCAGCAAAGACCCTCATACTTCCGATTTGACAGAGGTGTTGCTTTTCTTGCATTTCTGCAAGAGTTGCTGGATAAGGGACGCTCCCCATTCACGCTCAAAGTCTATGTGGCGACTATAGTGGCCTCTCATGCCCCAATTGAGGGCCAATCGGTGGGCAGAAACAGCGCAGTTATCTGCTTCTTAAGGGGTGCCAGGAGGCTGAATCTGCCTCGTCCCCTAACCGTCCCTTCATGGAGTCGTCCTGAAACCAAGGCACGGTTACGTACCTAAGGTGCTCTCCGCTCTGTTCAGAGCACAGGTCATTACGCTCTCTGTGCTTCCTCCCTCTGAAGAGGACAGAGAGTTATCTCTGATCTGCCCCGTCAGAGCTCTGAGAATTTACATTGAGCGTTCCGCCCCTTATAGGCGATCGGAACAACTCTTTGTCAGCTTAGGTAACCTCACCAAAGGGCTTCCGGTCACAAAGCAAAGACTCTCTAGATGGATAGTAGACTCCATCTCGCTAGTGTACTCTTCTTTGGGCCTTCAATGCCCCATTGGAGTACGGGCCCATTCGACTAGATGCATTGCCTCGTCTTGGGTATGGTCCAGTGGTGTGTCCATTGCGGATATCTGTGAGGCGGTCGGCTGGGCCTCGCCGTCCACATTCGCAAGGTTTTGTAACCTGGAAGTCCCGGCCTTGCAGGCCAGGATCCTTTCCGCTTGAAGAGACATACTGCTGAGTGTAGTATCGAAAGGGAACATACTCGGTTACTAACGTAACCTCGGTTTCCTGAGATACGGGAACGAGTACTGCATTGCTAGCCGTGCCATGTAGCCGCACGACTCAGTCGAAGTAACCTGAGAATCCTGTGGCGAACGCCCGCTTATATAGCCAGATGCCCCGCCCATTCTGGCGGGCTTTGGTGGGCTTTGTCGCCATAGGCTATGGCGACAAAGCCCGCCAGAATGGGCGGGGCATCTGGCTATATAAGCGGGCGTTTGCCATTGGTTCATTTTTTAATACACTGCACTAACCAATGGCCGTGCAATTTCACTGCGTGATTGAAAAAAGGCTTCAGTTCAGGAGAAAAAAAGGCTTTTTCCCATATGCATCTTAGCAGACGCAGTACTCGTTCCCGTATATCAGGGAACCGAGGTTACGTTAGTAACCAAGTACGTTCTCAGTGCTCAAATACACACACAGCAGTCCAAATGTCTATCGTGTAGATTATCTCACTTAAATACAGTCGGTTAAGGATTAAGTGAACGTAAACAGGTGGGTGAAAACTGAACGTGTGTTAGTATTACATGCATGCCTTCCGTCTTAAAGGGACAGCATTCCTAATTAAGTAGCCTACCTATCCGTGTCATTAAAGGGGTCATATGATGTTGCTAAAAAGAACATTATTTTGTGTATTTGGTGTAATGAAATGTGTTTATGTGGTTTAAGGTTAAAAAAACACATTATTTTCCACATACTGTACATTATTGTTTCTCCTCATTTGTTGCATCCAGTGGGGGCATAATTACGGATTATAATGACTTATAATGTCTTTTTACGCGTTGCATTGCATCGTGCCGCGTAAACATAAAACCATGTCTGCATTTGTGATCGGAGAAATGACAAACAACAAGTGCTACTCTACACTGCTCAAAACTTGTTGTAAATACAACTTAACCACTGATTTCTAGTCGTGTCCTCTTTTGGAAGGCCAAACAAAGTAGTTTCGCTTTCACAACGAAACACACGGCGGGCTAGAGTGAGCGGAGGCCGGCTTGAGTGAGTGACGGTGGGCGGGCTTGAGTGAGCGGAGGCGGGCGGGCTTGAGAACGGCGTGGCCAGCGCATTCAACGAAGGAGCGTCCGGCGGGCTTGCGTCAACCACATGTGACGATGAAAGAGAAAGGAAAAATTGAAATCGCATCATATGACCCATTTAATTGCTTAATTGTACAGTATTTACTTGTTGTTGTTTTTTCAAATCCCGCATTCAAAACCCACATTTAAATACAACAACAGCCCTCACCACTGATATAACAGAACACTTGACACTTGACATGTTGCCCATAACAATGTCCTGACAACCACTTACATTTAGTCATTTAGCAGACACTTTTATCCAAAGCGACTATAATAAATAAGTGACTAAATTATTATTATTATTATTATTTTAAGAAAACATGCAGTTAGTAAATGAATGAGTGCAAGTCTAATAGGGGCGAGTTTTTTTTTTTTTATTTAAAGAATAGAATTAGAATAGAGAGTGCTAGAGTTAGAGGATCAAATAAAGATGGAAGAGATGTGTTTTTAGCCGAATCTTGAAGATGGCCAAGGACTCAGCTGCTCGGATTGAGTTGGGCAGGTCATCCAGGAGGGAGGACTCAGCTGCTCGGATTGAGTTGGGCAGGTCATTCCACCAGGAGGGAACATTTAATTTTAAAGTCTGTGAAAGTGATTTTGTGCCTCTTTGGGATGGCACAATAAATGGTTCACTTGCAGAACGCAAGCTTTTGCCAAGAGAGCATTGCAATAGTCCAGGCTGGACAGAACAAGAGCTTGAACAAGGAGTTGTGAAGCATGTTCCGAAAGAAAGGGCCTGATCTTCTGAATGTTGAATAAAGCAAATCTGCAGTACCGGGAAGTTTTAGCAATGTGGTCTGAGAAAGTCAGCTGATCATCAATCATAACTCCAAGGTTTCTGGCTGTTTTTGAAGGAGTTATGGTTGATGTGCCTAACTGGATGGTGAAATTGTGATGAAATTATGGGTTTGATGGAACCACAAGCAGTTCTGTCTTGGCAAGGTTGAGTTGAAGGCTCACCTCTCCAAGATACCTTGAAGGACCTATCTGAGAGGTAAGACTCAAACCACTGGAGTTGCGGTTCCTGAGATGTCCTTTGCCAATAGTGTTGACAGGAGGATCTGGTGGTTAACCGTGTCAAAAGCAGCGGACAGATCCAGCAAGATAAGTATTGAAGATTTGGAATCCGCTCTTGCTAGTCTTAGGGCTTCAACAACTGAGAGCAAGGCAGTCTCGGTTGAATGGCCACTTCTGAAACCAGACTGGTTGCTGTCGAGGATGACATGAGGAGGGGTATGTGTTGTGTCAGGAACCATGTTGAGGTTAAGAGTGAGGAGGAAGTGATCCAAAGTGAGGAAGTGATTTTTTCTTAATGTCTACTTGAAATATGACATTTAACTATCAGAGAGTCTAGTTGAGTTCTGTGAAAAATCACACATTCTTCTGGCTTTATAGGGATATTACATAGGTGTAATGATATTTATACTGTACAACCTGTATTTTCTATCCCCTTACCCTAAGCCTACCCCTAAACCTACCCCTCACACAAAAATTCTGCATTTTTAGATTTAAAAAAGATTTTTTATTTTTTATAAGCTTGTTTAATCCTGGGAACAAAAAAAAGGTCAAAATCTACTGGTATTACTATCCTTGTGGGTACATGTGGTCCCCATAACATAGGGAATACCAGGTACACACACACACACACACATACTGGTTTCCATGTTTTATAGGGACTTCCCATAGGGCAGTACAAACTGTAAAATTTTTAGATTTTCAAAAAACTTCATTATAAGCTGTTTTCCTCATGGGGGCCAAAAAATGACTGTTTGCAAAAGTTACTTAGTGGTAAATGCTCTTTTAGCCTTTCTTTAAAAAATGTGCCATTGATGTGTTTTTTCTTTCTTTTCCAGGTGCTGGTAACCCAAAGTGTGAGATTGCCATAGTCATGTGCAGGAGCAAGTCACTGGATTCAAATAGTGACAGGTACTGGATCTCTAACATGCACTCCAAAAAAAGTCTATCAGCATAACTAGGTTAAATTAGCATACTGTCACAAAAGTTCTTTTTAAAAGTATTTATCACTGGCACTCGCAGATCTTTTGCGATCTCTCTCTCTCTCTCACTCTCTCTCTCACACACACACACACACGCACACACATTCTGGCATGAGACCCTGTGGCGGTGAGATCTGCATTGCCTGCATTCTTTCACTAAGCTGACTTTAAACAACTCAGTACAGCTGAGCTTTGACATGCCACTGTACTAGCTAGACTTTAATCACATTTTACTGCAGAACTTAATAGAACTTTACAACTCTCAGATATTAATATTAGAGTTTTTATGTTGCCAAATGAACAATAAGTAGGTCTAAACCTTAAACCCGTACAGGGCTGGGCCCCTCATTCATGTTCATAGCACTAATGGTGCAGGCTGAATTATACGCCCTAATGCATGGGATATTTTGAATATTGAGGACTAGGAGTTCCACAAATTAAAATAATCACCAATTTGTCAATAAATTAACCAATGTAATGTATTAATTTAAAAATATAAATAAATGACTTATTAGTGAAAGTTCTAGGAATACATGGATGTCATAGTTTGTTTACTTCAGAAAAAATAAGAAACATAGTGACGAGAGGACGTGACGAGGCTAAAAATAATAACAAGGTTATCAGCACACTTAGTATGTACTTTTATTCAGGAAATAAAATAATTATTTAATAGCAAAAGTTACAGTGCCCTCCCACCCGATGAACTAGGTTCATCAATTCTCATTTCAAGGATGATCAATGAAACTAGCTCCAAATGATATATTAATTGCACAGGTCTTCTTAACACACTGCCTCATGAAGTACGGATATTGCATGAGCGCACCAGGCCATCTCATTCTGAATTTAGTTTTTCAATTTTTCCCATTTTCCAAGTCTGACGAGGTACCTTGTCCTCTCCAATTACGACAACATCACGTTCCTTCAGCATAGTAGCCTTTATTGAATCACTTTTATGTGTGCTGACTTTAAGTCCAGCAAATAGTCTTTATGTCAACTGTACCCAAAGGTAGTTAGGAGTCTCTGTCAGTACTTCAGTAAACAAGCATGCTCTTTGGTCAGATTTGAGGAAGTAGATGCTGAGACCATAGTTTTGGGTGGCAGAGAGGTTGCAGAGGTTAGTCTTTTTCCTACAAAGAAATTTGAAGGTGTTAAAGGTTGGGGCTCATCTGTGCCATTGTGTATACATGAAAGTGGTCTAGAATTCAGAACCACTTCCACTTCTGTCAAAATAGTAGTCATCTCTTCAAAGTTTAGTGAGGCTTTTTCTAGGACTTTTTTTTCTAACAAGCCTCTCCCAAAATCCTCCCCACCAAGTAGCACTCTCCACAATAAATTTGCAAGTAATAAACCTTGATGAAAAGAAATGTGTAAGCTAAGAGATTTTAAAGGACTTCTACAGTTCTTTCAAATCTTGGTCTGCCCTTTTAAATGTTTTTGCATTGTCAAGTCAAGTCAAGTCACCTTTATTTATATAGCGCTTTTAACAATACAGATTGTGTCAAAGCAGCTGTACAGCATTAAGTAGGAAAATACTGTGTCAATTAGGGCTGTCACGATATTAGATTTTTCACACCACAGTTATTGTGGCCAAAATAATTCACAATATCGATATATCGCAATATCTATAGAAACCTTTGGGGGAAAAACTTTATCAGTCAAATTATTTTTTACTTTGTTTATTTAGTTTTTCTTTTTTTACCCATGCAACAAACATAAGGATACAGATAAACAGGGCACATGCATTTCCACTTCTTACATTCTCAATCTATGGCAAATTTTTATGAAGGAAGACAAGCATGTTAAGTTTCTCTGGTTTCAAACTGGAGCGAAACACTGTCTGAATGTTTCCTGAAGAACTGAAAAGTATTTCTGATGTAACACTGTTGGCGGGAATGCAAAGGATCTTCTGTGCCAGTTTTGCCAACCTTGGAAAATCCTCCTCACTGTCTTTCCACCACTGCAGTGGGTCTTTATCCACAGAAATAGTGGGCAAGGCTGTGTATGCAGAAACTTCTTGAAATGCTGGTGTAGATTTTACCATGTCTGCTGATTGTTTGTTCTTCTGTTTTTTCATTGTTATCATTTTGAGAATACCAGCCAAGCCTTTTGGGGCCTCAGGGATAGAGACACTGGTCCCCTCATCTTCACATTCTCCTCTGGCAGAAGACTCCTGTGAGAGAGTACAAGTGCTACCTACATTGTCAGAAGACTCCTGCGTGAGATGCTGCTCTAGATGTCTTTTAATTGAATCTGCCTCTTCCATGAAGTTCAACTTGAAGCGGGGGTCAAGTACGCAGGTCATGTTAATCACTGTAGATGAACCAAAGAGAACATTCATTATTAACGGAGCTCATAAAACACAATCAGTCATGATGAGTAGTAATGATATAAGACTATGAATAAGGTGAGGTTGGAGAAATTTGTGGTACCGGCCTACTCACCATTAGCCATATTGGAATCCTCATACCGCTCTTGTAAGTTCTTGCAGATTGCATGTTTCATGCTCCTCACCAGGCTGCTGTCATCATCCTTTTCTGCCAGGATGGATTCAGTCAGATGCTGAAGGACAGGCCTCAGGGATGAGATTGTGATACAGGTCTCTGCAGCCAGGGAAGCAGTAAAGGTTCTGAGTGGCTTCAGCACCTTACATGTGTCCTCGAGTGTAGAGATGTGTGACCCCCTTAGCACAAGATGCCTGGTATTTCTGTCAGCCATGAGAGTTGCTGTCACTGCAGCATGTTGTTCAACAAATCTGCAAACATTATATTAGATGAAGTTAGAAAAATTTTCCTAATCTACACAACAGGCTTGCTGAGAAGCATACAGCAGATGTGTGTGTGCGCGTGTGTCAGAGTGAGAAAAGGCAAGTGAGTTTGTAAAACTAAAGCATTTCTTTATCTGTTGTTTTCATTTACATTTTTGTTTTCATGCACCCTTTGCCTTTTAAGCATAAGAAAGCTTATGCTGAATTGACACTGACAGAATAATTAAATGAACAGGATTATTGCCATGCACAAGAAATCCAAACCTACCTAGAAATCATGTTGTACGTAGACCCCCATCTAGTCACAACGTCGTGGATCAAGGTATGTTGAGGAAGATTAAGTTCTGCTTGCTTTTTCGCCAGCTCTCTCCTTCTCTTCCATGAGTGGTTAAATCCTTGTACGACACTCCTGCAAGCCCTCACAGCAGCATCCACTTGGTCAATCTTCAGGGCCTTTCCAAGTGCAAGATTTAAATTATGTCCAAAGCAGCTGAGCCAGTTCGATGGGAGGAGGGATTTAAATGCAGCCTTCATATTTGTGCCATTGTCAGTAGTGACACACTCCACTGCTGACTGCTGAATTCCCCACTCTTTAATTAGGTTTTCGTATGTCTCTGTAATGTTCTCACTGGTGTGGTCATCAGGTAAAAATGCAGTCTCTAGACATGCAGCTTTCATTTCCCATGCTGGTGTGATGAAATGAACTGTTAAGCTAATATAGGGGTGTCCAGTATTACTGGTCCAGAGATCAGTTGTAAATGCAAAGTGTTTGGCCTCAGCCAAAGTGTTGGTAATCTCAGCTTTTAATTTTAAGTACATGTTTGGGATTTCTTTTTCAGAAAAGTGTTGTCTTCTTGGGATTTTGTATTTTGGAGCAACTGTTTTCATCAGTGCATTAAATCCTGGCCTCTCTACTATTCTAAAGGGCATCATGTCCTTTGCAATGAAGTAGGCTAGTGACTCAGTGATGGCTGTGTCCTCACATGCACTAGCCATATCTGCTTTCCTCTTCCTTTCCACAGAATCAAAAAGTGTAAGCTGACCTGAGACTCTGGTCTTCTCTGTCTTCTTTGAAGCGCCCTATGATATAACAATAGAGAAAATACTGTCAAGATCAACAGTATGATGAATAAATATTAACATCAAAACTGATACTTTAACCTGTTAACTTGCGTACCCCTATTTTAAGCTCTTTAACCTATGGTTGCGCCGGCGCCACCACAGATGAGGCATTAAGTGCATGGCACTGCGACAAACTTAAAAGAATCACCCTTTATTTAAATATAAAAACACAGAAAACCGCTGTTAACAGGTTAATGTAACATTTCCCATTCCATGATTAGTAAAATAACCGCAACTTACTCTCTGTAAAAGGGCGTAATCCGCAGGGTGATGGACACAGAGGAGGTTAAAAAGGTCGGTGGTGTTGCCCCCCTTCGCACTGACCGTAGCCCGACAGATTCTGCAGATTGGGTTGTCTAAGGAGCTCTTTTCTTTGAATCCGAAAAGCTCCCATACTGGCGAGCTTACTTTTTTCGGGTGTGGACAAAGCCTGTCACTCTCCAGCTCGGACGACATGATTTTTGCGCACGCTGCATCTTCTTCTTGTTTGACACTGGTGTCAGCGTTAAGGCACAATACTGTCACCTGGGAGGTTAACCAGGTACTGGCGCTGGAGAATTTACATGTCGTGTTATCATAAGTGTCCTGTTCATTTTAAATATCATGGTTATTGACAATACCGTTATATAGCGACACCCCTAGTGTCAATAATGCAAAATGATAATAGTAAACACTCAATTTTCAGTTAAAGGCAGTACATCATTGAATTCAGTGATGTCATCATCCAGCTCAGTTCAGTTTAAATATTGTCTGTGCAATCAAGTCGACGATATCGCTGAAAATTAAGTGTCCAAAGTAATCAGATCTAGCAATTTTTATTGTTTTTCTGTAGGATAGGGTACTTTCCCGCCAAGCAATACGAAATACCTATAGTTTTGTTTTCCTCCAGCTGCGCTCCATTTTCCGGGCTGCTCTCTTTAGGGTGCGAGTGTGCTCATTATACCACGGTGTCAGACTGTTTTCCTTAATCTTCCTTAAGCGTAAAGGAGCAACCTGTCAGGGTAGGGGATGAAGGGATGAGGCGAGGACTCAGTAGTGCAGAGTAATGGGCTTTTAATAGTAGCTTTTAACTTTTAATAGTAGTGAGCCATGCGCTAACATGAAAACAACGACATGACGGGAGTGTCAGGGCTCGGTCACAAAACCTGGCGTCCCTAACGAGGAACACCAAAAACAAGACAGGAACAAGACCACACAAGACCAGCACAAACATGACAACACAAGACCGACACACAACAACAGACAACACAAGACAGGAAAATCAAAACAAAGACAAAGAGGGGAGGGAGGGAAGGGAGCCAAGCCAGTGCCAGCAGGACAGCCCAGACAGTCAATAAAGGGACCAGGGAGGGGCGGGAGGGTTGAACCAGGGAGGCTCCAGCGGTTGGGGAGTCCTGGCTGAAGGCCAGGGTGGAGCTGGAGGGACGGACCAGTGAGGCTCCAGCAGTCTTGGAGTCCTGGCTGAAGACCAGGGCAGAGCCGACTGGACAGGCAGCAAGGGCGGTGCCTGCATCAAGGACGGAGCCGACAACAAGGATGGAGCTGGCAGGGCAAGGAGTTTGAGCGGCTCTGGCAGTGCAAGGAACTTGGGCGGCGCCGGCAGGGCAAGGAGCTTGGGCGGCTCTAGGACAGCCTCCGGGCCAGCAGCGGGCTCCTGGACGGTCTCCGGGCCATGGTGGATGGAGGAAGCCTTCATCCTCCTCCTCCTCCGTTTCCGAGAGCGGGGCACTGCGACGTCGTCGGCCCCCTCTGGGGGCGCTGCAGCCTCTTCGGCCGCCACTGCGGGCTCTGCAGCCTTATCAGGCAACGCTGGGGGCGCTGCAGCCTCATCGGCCCCCACTGGAGGCACTGCAGCCTCTTCGGCCGCCTCTAGGGGCCGCAAAGTGGACCCATTCTTCCTCCTCCCCCTCCTCCGTTTACAAGAGCGAGGTGCTGCAGCCTCTTCGGCCGCCTCTAGGGGTGCTGTAGCGTCATCGGCCGCAACTGGAGGCGCTGCAGCCACCACCGGGGCACTGCACCACCGGGGCACCTGATCTTCAGCCACCACCGGGGCACTGCAGCCTCATCAGGTGCCTCTGGGGGCACTGCGGCTTCTCTGGCCGCCTCTGGGGGTGCTGCGGCAGGTTCTACCTCTACAGTAATGGGGGCAGATGAGGCAGACCTGTTCTTCCTCCTCCTCCGTTGGTGGGTCATAGGAGGACTGGGGACTAGGTAGTTTGTGAGGAGAATGGGAGGAAGACCAAGAGGAGGAAGACCACCCTCTTCTCCACGGTGGTAGACATACCCCACAAACTGCCAGAAGGACAGTGTCCCCAGCATTTCCATCTCCCAGGCATGGACGGGCTCATTAAGGCTGGTGTTAAAGATGTCCTTGAGCTCTGCATCACTGATGTTGAGTCCCTCCGCTACAAACAGGAACTGGTACACAAAATCCTTCACACTGGCTCCCCCTTGCCGAAGAGAAAGGAGCCTCCTGCGTTGAGCAGCTATCTGATGAGTAGAGGGGCAGGGAGATGGGAACAGGAAGATGCCCATTGTTCTGCTGAGTCCTCTATTGGCCAGTTCGTACTGTCAGGGTTGGGGATGAAGTGATGAGGCGAGGACTCAGTAGTGCAGAGTACTGGGCTTTTAATAGTAAAATAAAACAAAACAAGCAACAAAAACTACCCCGTGGGGGTAAAACAGGACAGCAGGCAACAAGGCAAGGCTTGGCAAGACAAGGCTGGACAGGACAAAGCAGGGCAGGACACATCCAGGGTGATACGATGACGAACTGGCACGGGACTGCAAACACAAGGAGAATAAATAGGGAGCAAATGAGGAGGGTAACGAGGGAACACATGTGGGGCAAATTAACCAATAATCAGGTAACAAGATGGGTGGGGTCAAGACAATTGACATGAGAGCACTTGGCACACAGGAAACAAAGACAAAAGCCATGTGTTCACACAAAACAAAAACACAAGCACATGGCCAGCAAAACAATCACAAGCCATGTGCTTGAACAAAACAAGACACGAACACGCAGCTAATGAGAATACTCATAAGCCGCGTGTTCAAACAAGACAAGACAGCACATAGTCAGCGAAAACCAAGCTGTGTGCTACACAGCACAAGACAAAACAGGACAGCAAAAAAGCACGCAGCCAATAACACGAGCTACCTGCAACAACAACACAAGACAACAAGAAAAGCACGCGGCCGAACACAAACCGCGTGCTACACAAAACACAACACACGTGGACAGAAGAGCGCACAGCCGAGCGAACTCGAGACCGCACGCTCCCACAACAAGACAGAACATGGAGCGCGAGTGTCCGGACCCCAACACGAAACCGAAACTCAACATGACATGAGTGACGGGATCCGAACACCACGCTCCAACATGAAACAGGAAACAGGACACGCAGACGAGCACTCTCGAAGCCACGCACTCACATGAAAACAACGACATGACGGGAGTGTCAGGGTTCGGTCACAAAACCATGAATAACACTAGACCGAAGTGACAGAACCCTGACA